AACTTATGAGGAACAGAGACCCAAATCCACATCCCTGCAGTGGCCACCACCAACAAACTCCGCAGCAAGGATCGTAGAATCATAGAATTGGAAGAGACCCCAAGGGCCATCCAGTCCAACCCCATTCTGCCATGCAGGAACTCAAAATCAAAGCATCCCTTGGGACAGATGCCCATCCAGCCTCTGTTTAAAGACCTCCAAAGAAGGAGACTCCTAAGAAGGATGCTTCTTTTGCCCTCCCCTCAAAATTCTGAATTTCCCAAACACTGGGCTAGTCTTACCATTTGTCCCCGCTGAACAACCCTGCGATGGAGACAAAATGGACAGAGGGACAAGGACTGGCCCACCATCAGCCATTGAATTTCACAGCTTAACCTAGATACCCCAAGCCCCAGTTCAACAATCTAACCACTATACCACACTGCCTGTCCAAGGGGTGTCACTAGGGGTGTATGGGGAGTGTAGACCACATCAGATGATACACTAAGGGTGTGTGTGTGTGACACTATTACTCCCCAAACATCTGCCTTTGGACAGAAGCAGGCGCTGGCGTGTTGTGATGTCCCTTCAAGTCATTTTCGACTTATGGCAACCCTAAGATGTTCTATCATGGGGTTTTCTTGGCAGGCTTCTCAGAGGAGGGTTGCCATTGCCATCCTCTGAGGCTGAGAGGGTGTGACTTGCCCCAGGTCACCCAAGTGGGTTTACATGACCGAGCTGGGATTCGAACCCTGGCCTCCGGAGTTGTCGTCCGACGCTAAAAACACCATACCACGCCGGCTCCCTGCATCCCTTTAGTAAGTCGGAGCTCAGCAGAAGAGATGGTTTGTGAATGGTGCAAATCTCAGTGGGAGGACAAAAATTTTTTAATTTTAAAATTTATTTTTTTAAAAAAAAATGATTCCTTTTAAATTTTCGTTACCGACTTCACATCTTACCAATTTTTCACTTTAACCACATGAAACTATGTGCATGATATTGTGGTTTAAAGGTATAATTTTAACGTTGCTAGCTGTTTATGTCACAGCTATTGCCATTACACGGAGTGATGATATACGGGAATTATGATTCTTGAGTCACCTTAGTACAAAAGAGCCAGAGGGGAGCTGTAGTTTGGCTGCTGGACGCCAACTCTGGGGACCA